TCAAATAAAATTCAGTTTTCTGCTTTCACATCAAGCATTTTTTTTGGGAGGGGGGGTTGGGTGGGGATGTCATGTCAGCTTCCATTCTCTGCCATTTCCAGTCATTCTAAGGGAATACCAATTGCTTACACACCGTTAGTCATCTTTGGTAAATATACAGTGCTCAACTGCACACACACCCAGGCACGGGCATGCATAACCTAGGTTATCTACGCTTAATTCCCGTCAATAATTTAGTCTGGGTCCAACGTTCGATTAATTCAGATCCACATTATCCCCCAAAACCCAACGGACAAAACTGGACGAAACAGTCTGCATCGCCCACCACACACACACATAACGACAACGTCATAACCCAGACAGAATTGGGTTGTTGATTGGTTGTCGGATCCCAAACCTCTTTCTCCCCCACCCCTTGGGGGGTGGCCAAGGGGAACCAATTGCGGCCACTCTCACACCCCGTTCCCATTCTCAGGTGACAAAATTGGAGAGAGAGGAGCCAATTTCCCCACCAGTGGGGGGGGGGGGGTCCTGAAAAAAGTGGGTTAAGGAAATGTATTCTTTGCAAGCCTGTTTGTCATGTTTCAACCATTGTCAGGCCGAAGGGGAAAAAAATGTAGAAACTGCAGAAAAGATGTGAGTCTGGCTTATGTTGTTGTTTTTTCAAACATGTTTAGGTTGCTTACATGCACGTGGGTGTTTTCCATTATTTAAAGGCACCACATGAGGTGTGGAGTCGTAGGTCAGACAGAATCTGACACATGGCGGAACTTGGAATTGTTTATGATGAATTCCGAATTTCTGGGCACTCGCACTTGGATATGTTTATGTAAACACTTTCTTGTCATGTCCTGCTGTTTTTGTATTTTGGAATGTTGTAGGAGTGCTGCTTGGGTGCAGGGCTACAACGGGGTTAATGTATGGAGGCTTAAATGACAATCCTCCGTGAAGTTTAGCTCGGCGGGTGTTTTTGTTGCTTTGGTAGAGGTGATTGGCTAAAGAATGCTGTAGGTTTTTGTTTCATGTTGTCTAGCTTAGGTGCACATGTATGTAGACCGTTTGGAGGAGGTGAGAAGACCACATGCTGAAACTGCTACATGTGTGAAGACCTCATTGTGTACTGGTTGTGAAATGTCTAGAAATTATCTGGAAAGTTCAAAAACATTTACGTAAAAAATAGTTATTATAGGAGGCAGTTTCAGGAGTTTTCCCGAAATAATAATATGCTGAATTTTATGTTGATGACTTCCTGAGGTAATGTCCTATCACTCTTCAAATTAAACTGTACCTTTTGACAAATACTGAAGATGTACAAGCTTCTAAAGTACCGGTATATATATGGACGGAAAAGTGTAGTGCACACACTACACTCCTTCGGGAGTCACACGTGTCGTATACATGGCATTGCAGGTAGCTGCCAGAGTAAATGACATGCCCTTCTATTTATTAATTGTCTAATTTGGCTGTCACATTACTTGTTTGTTTAAGAACGGACACACGAATGGAACGAAATCGGAGATCAATACCCACGCTTAATTTGATCAAGTGAGTCTGGAGACAGACTGGGCCCTGACCAGACTACCGAGCAGCGGTGTGCGCTTACCACTCTATAATATTGTGTTTCCAGTGACGCTCAAATCTTTAAGAAAGAAAAAAAAATAAGGGCTTGAGAAATGTATCCAATGATAGGGATCGTTATATGTATGCAAATGCCTCTGCCTAGCCGGAGGGAAGTCAGTGGGTAGGATTGCAAAGAAGTAGTCTGGAGCCCCAGCCAACCTGTTAGTGACGTGGCCAGTCTTTATAATACCGGCTCAGGAGCTGTTAAATGTTCATTCCAAATCAACAACTTATTCTGCCTGTGACAATAAGGTACCTTGCAGTGCAGAAAACTAACAAACCCTACCCACTTTTTGGGGGGTTCATAAGGAGGGTTTGGGTTTATTTGGTGAGTCCTCAAAGAAGGCTGATGTGTTGTTCACCGGTGCGCCCGTCTGAAAAACTACTTGAAATCAAATTAAGTCGCCGGTATCCAATTCCTGCATAGTAAGTGCCAGTTATTGTGGGCTCGCAGCTGAGCCCCCGCAGGGTTCGTAACGAGCGCTGCCGCAGCTCTCTCTCGCTCTCGCTTCTCTTTGCCCAACTTCGTCTTCCTCCATTTCAAGTGGTGATAAAACGCAGTGGCCGCTGCCACCCTTTGGAATTGAGCAGGCTGTCAAGCTCCTGACTCGATTTCTCGTGTGGGATATTTTGTGACAGCCGGGGGCGATATGTTCTTTCCTGTCTCGTCACGAGCGAAAAGCGACCCAACTAGTTTTTTTTTTTTTTCCTTTCGTTCTTTCTCTCCCACTGTCTCTCTCTCTTTCTGTCTGAGACTCTTCTTTTTTTTTTCGCTCGGCCGATGTTCATCAGCATGAAGAGGTTCCGGTCAGTCACCTCGCATGAGCCGGCAAAAACAGATACTTTTTTACTATTTTTATTTGCCCCCCCCCCCCCCCTCAATCTCAGAGGAAAATTATGCCAAATGTTTATTAACGAAATTGGAATTGGCAGCAGGGTTACTAATGAGGTTTTGCCAGAAGCCGCATTAGGCCGAGCGTTGTCATTGTGTGAATGGCAGGATTTGCAGCATGACTTCTTGTAACAAAATAAATTGCGGTGGGATCACGCGTCTGTAATTGAGATCTGTTTTTCCGAGATGTGTTTTTAAGGTATCGTGTTTGCTGCAGGTATTTTGGGAGATTACGCTTACGAGCGGATACGCCAACTTGTTAAAATTGCCGTTGATTCAGAGCTGATAATTTGATGTGGTACTTTTTCAAGGCAATTTAGTTACACTTTTAGTTCCAATCGTATAAAAAAATTGTTATTCTCCATTGCAGTTTTAATAACGGGAGTTTGTTTTTGTTTTTTGCTTTTTAAAAGAATGGGAGAGTATTTTCAGAAAATGGTTGTTTGTCGCTGTCCAATTTCCTACACATTATGTTTGGTCGACTCCAACATTTTGGGAATTGATTCCAATTCCAATTCCATCCAGGAATTACAATTCCATGCAGAATCAATTCCAATTTTCCTCGGCAAAAATAGTGTTTGAAAAAGTTTAGCTAAAGAGTTTGCATGAATAGTGATTAATATCAAATTAGAAATTGTTAAGACCTGTTCATGCAATCTCTCTGTAGCAGCATGATTATCTACCTGGAGAAAGTTGTTTTGAATATATATGTTTTAGCACACGATTTGAGACAAATACAGCGACTTTTACATGATACACACACAAAAAGGAACACCCTCACAGCGCCATATACTTGACTGTTGCTCATTTTAAATAAAAGCTACATTTGTTCGACTTATTGAACCAACAAGCATGCATTTTAATTTCCCCACAATCTCTCAGAAACGATTCCATCATTCAACCCTACTACAGCAAATTGATTCCTCGTAAAGGTGGAATCACGATTGTGATTCTAATTGATTCCAGCATGGAATTGCCCAAACCTAATGCATATGTGGGGACATGCCAAACCAGCAATTCTAATGATTTTCGATGACAGTGGTTTTGAGTGATGCATCACTTAGTAACACGAAAAAGTCATTCGATACCCAAATTCTCCCTTAGGAAAGGGCACCAGAATTGTGCGGTCTGTATGTATCGCCCAAAGTAAGCCACAAGATTACAAAAAAGTGGATATGACTTTCCAGGAATTAGTCACTGCACTTCTCACTGTGAATCAGAGTATAAATATCATAAAAAAGAAATTGTCCGTTGAATCACTACCCTCTCGTAAAAACTTCCTAATAACAATACTCGCTTGATCCTATGAATTGTAAATCATTCCTCCCCCCCCCCCCCCAAAAAAGAAAAGTTGCAAGACTTTGATAAATTTATCGCCTCTTTGCCAGATGACAGAAATCACGTTGTGCTGGCGCTGGGCATTACAACTGAACCTAAACGTTCCGCCCTGACTTTTGTAATTTGCAGAGTACTCTAAGAGAAGGAGGGGGGAAAAAAGCATCGTAAATTGTTCAGATTATTTTTTTCTTTTTTGTTTTGTTTTTCTTTCTTTTTTTCTGGGATGTTGTTTGATATTGTCGTGGGCCTAGTGATTAGGAAGGTGATTTATCGCGGGTGGAGTGCGTTGTTCATTGTAAATAAACAGTTAGGGATTATGCTCGGACTTTATTCTGCCATAACAGAACAGAACACAGCCTGCTGGTACATGTGTTCCTGCATTGTCTGCTCGCTAAAGATGACATTAAAATTTGCTGTGCAGGGCAAGATTTATTTTTAAAAATGGGTTTACTTCTATCTAAGATTGTCAGGTCCTCTCCTGATTAAAGCAAGCATATCAAAGTTGGTCTCTGAGTGCACAAGATTTTATTCAGTTAATCCAGAAAGGCTATAGTCACTGGAGTTCTTGGGTACTCCTGTATGATAGCACTGCCCAGCTCACAACAGACTGTCAGTCAGTCAGTCAGTCAGTCATTGAAGTGGGTACAAAGAAGACACAAGGTTAGCCCTCTGGGACCAGCAAAAAGTCCTTACAGACTCATTTCATGGATCCGATTGTGTAGGCAGTATTTTTTAATGCAAACAACAGAAAAATCTTGTTTATTGAAGCAGTTGAGTAACTTTATAGCATTCGAACATTTACAAAATGATTCTAAAAAAAGTGATATTTGAATCGTAGCAACAGGAAAATTACACCAATAACCTTAGATTCAAGTCTGTTTATGCCCCAAAATGGTGTCGGTGAAGTGTCGTCATTCCTCAAAAATATGGCCCATTCCAGTATGGAAGTTTCATCATTTTCCCGCTTGTTTCTTTCAGGTACCATATGCAGATTTTACTCGGATCAGCTGATTTCCTCATTTTTCATTTCACACCGATGCCATTAAAACTTGAAAAACACTGTATTCTGAAGTCTCCTGAAGCTTGAAACTTCCTCCGTTTTTTGTGGTAACTTCTCAGTTTCATGCCTGTTATTTGCTTGCTTTTGCAGGGCCGCTGCACGCGTGAAGACTGTAAGTACCTACACCCGCCGCCCCACTTGAAGACCCAACTGGAGATCAGCGGCAAGAACAGCATCGCAGCCCAGAAGATGCTGCAGAATTTGCACAACCACCAGCTGCAGTTGCAGGCCGCTGCCGCCGCCAGCATGCAGCTGCACCAGCCTGGCGCCACCATCTTGCCTACGCACCACCAGGCGCTCAACTCACTGGTAAGCAGACACAACCATCTTCTGTTTTTCTTTTTAGTTGGCATTTCTCAAAGCTGGGATGTACATGTAGTTTTATAGATATGCTAAAACCCCAAGTGGCTGAGAACCTTTCAGAAGCATTACTGGCCTTGTTTTGAATTTTGTTCAACAAAAAGTTCCATTTATATTTGGTTTTTCCTGCAGCTGGGCCGCAATTTCATGTAGCAACTATTTGTGTATGTTCCAGTATTGGCCGGTAACCAGTCACAAGCAAGTCCTTGCAGTGATTAGACTGGTTACCGACTTTCTGTTCAACAAAACAATTTTTTTAAAGCAAATTCTGTGTTAGCAGTTCCATCAAAGCAACCCAAAACTTGCAACTAGCTAGCCACTTTGCATGACCAAAAGAAGAATGCTAGATAAAGCTGGGTCTGTTTTTGTGCATAACCACATTAATTAATTTTGAGATTTGATAAATCAGTTCCGTAATTGGTGGCTGTTACAATAGTGTGGAGCCTTGCTGAATTAGTAGGAAGCAGGAAGCTAATTCATTTTCATTGCAATAACGCAACCGTGTGCATGAGTAATATGTGTGATACAGTCCAAAAAGATGCACTTTCTATTTGTGTTTTATTCTAATAACTCTATTCCATCTCCTTTGTTCTATTGCTACGTTGCTAGCGCCAAGTTTTATTGTGCCACAAAGCAGAAGAATTTGCCACGCAAATATATATGGATAGCCCAAAAAAATAGTGCTGAGCAGTATGAATGTATAAATCATCATGTGACATTTTCAGAAGGTCGTAAGCTGTTCCTTATTTGTTCTTTTGTAAGCAGGTGTAAGAAATAAGCCCCCTGCATTAGTACAGCATGTTTTTGTTGCTAATAAAGTATTGTGTGGGTTGTTGCCGCAATGCTTTTGGTTGCTTTGTGTTTTTTTGCTTTGGAAAAAAATCAGCTTTTTTGCTTACAATATATAAATCATATTTATAAGCACATTGTAGTAAACAAGTTTCCATTTTGGAGGTGAAAACTTCATTAGATTAAAAAAAATTTAAATAAAGGTAGTTATCGCACTCACAATGCTAAAAAAAAAGGCTGCATGTACTGTACACAGTTTGTGCTTTCTCCATTTTAATATATAGTTTTAAATTGTGATTTTTAATTTGTTTTAATTCGGTCCTGCTACCTTTTTGTTCTAGTGTAAGTGCACTTGTATGCTTTGTGAGCTTGAAACAACATATTACCATCGCCCTGTATTCCTGGCACAGTTTTTGTTTGCGTGAGGCAAAATATACTGCACTGACCCATTTCCACTTCATTTCTTATACGCGCTGTTTCTTTCTTTTTTGGGGGGAGGGGGTGGGGAGTTCTGAATCATCCCAATTCCTAAAGAAGAAATGTCATTGTAGTCTTCACTGGGCCCATTCTTGATTTGCTACTTGTGTGTTTCAGTTTCCGCATCAAGCATTAGTTAATAAATACATAAAGACCTTAAGCATGCATTGGCTATTTGGGGGCTTTTTTCAACATTTTCAATCTCTACATTTGTACTTGAGGCCTAAAATCTAAAAAAAAAAATTACCGCACGTGTCTTCTTAGACTGAATAATGGGGTTAATTACCAGTATAAGGAAAATGGGAGGTACAGGTACCGGTAGTCCATTTTTGAGAAACTTATTTTGCGGTAAATGCTTTCAAACTCGTGGGGAACAAAATTGTTAAAGCATCACAGAGAGTCTTGGAGAACCGCATTTTGATGTCGGCGGTACAGTTAAGTTGCATGTGTGTGTGCTGAAACAAAACGCAACATGAGTCAAATGGCTGGGACCATGAGTGAAAAATGACAGACTTTCCAAGCATAATATTGCCGTCGCCCCATGTTCATGGGAGCACCCACCACCATGTTGATCTTTGCTTTGTACGAAGTTTGACTAACACTACTGCAGTTACTGATTCTTCTGCCATCTTGGTCATGTTCCCTGTAGCAATACTTCAAATTCTCTTTGAAGTGTATTTCAGGCACCAGCCTTTTTTAGTAAGGGGGGAGGGGGGAAGGGAGGGTGGGGAAGTCATGGAAGTAACAAAGCCCCCAATAATGGCCACTGCATGACCACCTGTCTGCCCATTTCAATCAATCTCCCGATTTGTTTGTTGAATTTGACACCAAGCAACCCTCTATCTTTGGCATAGGAGTTGGTTGGCTGTCCGTCATACCCGTACGACATGGGACGATACAACACCAGCTGCACTAGATGCTTACAGACAGAGGTAGGAAACCACACCCACCACTACCACCCACACACCATGGCAGTTCCACAGTGACTCGCATTACATTTTGTCCACATATTTTCATCATTCGGCTACTTTCGTATAATCTGTTTGGTACAGCTTTTTGGCTAAAATTTTACCCTTGTTCAATTTTGTTTACATCCATGTGGACAAAACAATGTGAATGACACTATGGAACTGCCCTACTGTAGCCTAGTCCAAACACAACTAACATGGCTACCCATAAACCACCCCAGCTCCTCCCCCCCCCCCCACCACCTTCTCCTAAATCACCCTCCCACCCCTACACCCCCAAAAAGTTTACTAACTTACAGTTGCAAAAATTGCTTAAGCTTTGTTATGTAGCACTTACTAAACAATGCGACTAAATGATATTATGAAGTGGTTGTAACCTAAGCTGCCGTTTTCAGTAGAATGAAATGTAAATATAATATTTTTTTGAACTCAGAACAATTTGAAGAAATATGTCGGGGCAGTGCTCTGACCTGGTTCTTTGCAATTTCAAAGTACGGTAGTAGACAAGCCAACTGCACAAAACCAAATAGCTTTTCAACCTTAATGAAAATTTCGGGGTGTATTTTTTTTCCATTTCTAAAAATGTGAATTTAGGTTAGAAAATTTTGAGTGTTTGAATTTGTAAAAAAATATGCTTGATAGTTGAAGATTGTACCTGTATCTTGTTGATGCTTGTTGTATGTTGAATTTTTGGTGAATCACGCCAATGTTGCAAGATGGAATTCAGCAGTAATTTCATAAATGCTTGCATTGTTTGTAATGCACTTTCTTAGTGGTTTTTTTTTTTTTTTTTTGCCTTTTTTTTACAAACTATTTCATTCAATCGAAGATTTTTTTGCTTAATACTCCCTAATGGCATGGAACTTGCGGGCACTGTTCAAAACAAACTGCTGGTAAAGTTTTGTGTTTGACAAGGGTAACCAGTGTAGGGAAATTGTTTTAAACTAAAAGCATTTTTCCTGCTTTGGGGGGAAAAGACCAAACTTTTGCAGGTACAATTTTAGCTCCATATTAAGTCCATGTTCTGGGTTGGGAACCTCAAATACTTACAACATAAGGTGACATTTAAGAACATTTGTTGTAGACATTAAAGCATTCAAACTGATTCTTGAGCCGGAATTGGAGACAGTAACAGAGTTCGGAAAACGGACCAAAGATATTGACAAATGCCTGGCCCCCCTAAACAGCGCCCTCAAGTGTCTGAATGAATGATTGACATATGCCATAATAACAGCATTTGCTTTTGTGTTTGTTTTTACTGTTTGTACTTCCTTTTTTGCCATGCTTTTTTGTGTTGTTGAATTTATTGCAGTCTTTTCTTTGCATTGCCTTTCTTTCTTCATTGCTCATTTTTTTGTTCGATGTCCTTAAAGTTCTGAATATACCTGTACATGTACCGGTACGTGTACATGCCTCCGAGTTTAGAGTACATCGTAACTTAGTTTCAGTTTCAGGAAAACAATCGTTTTCATCGTGAGCTCTCTCATTTCATCCTGTATTGCTGATAAATTATAAGATAATATGGCAGAAGGTTCTCCACCCCTGGAGGAACAAGTACAGTTTTCCATGAAAAGTCACTCATAATTTTGTCAAAAACAAGACGAGCATTGACAGACTAGTTCAAACTAGTTTCTGTTTCAATTTTCAAGTAATGTGCAATGCACTTTGATATGTCACTTTTTAAAAATGGAAATGGAACAGTCGTCCTGTTTTCTTTTGTGTTTTTTTATTTGTTTTTGGGTCAAGTTAAAACAGCAGTCAAAAGTTATTAATACGACCTTTGAAAATATATTCTCTTTAAAATCTATTTCTAGTCTAAAAAGTCTAGGAGTTACTCAAAGTCAAACTGTTAAGATGCTATTGAAAACTGCAAATGAAACAGTATTTAAAGTATTTAACTCTAACTCTAATTTTTTTCCCCAAAACGTTTTTAAGAAATCTATGTTACCATATTCAAGTAAATTGTGTCTTCGTTCAGTCACTGCATGCACTCACAGAGTGCACAAAAGCAAACGGAATCTTTACATGAGCAGCCTCTCTGGGCCACTTGGGGGACACAGAACCTCCCCATCTCCCAACAACGCCAAGAAGACAAGAGCTCATCTTCATTAGACTGAATTGCCACGCTTGATCCACTTAAATGCCAAGACGGCCGATATCATTACCCAACGCAGCCGACGAAAGAACAGAGATGCGAGACAGAAGAAAGAGAAGCAGAACTAGAGATCTGTCCGTCTGGGAGCATCCACACGAGGATACACTGAATGGGCACTCCGCACCTCCAGACAAAAGCTGCTCGAATTAATTATAACGACGGTGGATTTTTTTGTGGACCAGCCGGTGAACTCAGGTGACCCTGTCACTCGCGGGGCAATCAATCAAACTAGCCCTTGATACCTTCTTCTTTCTCCCCGCTCTCTGGTTCTTTTTATTCGTTCGCGCATGAGTCATGGCATTATTCCGGTTTTTTTCTTTCGTCGGCCTTACCTTGTGTGAAGTTGAACCACTCTTCTCAGACGACTAAAATGCCCTGCACTTCACCACTCCACTTCGGGGCCTGCAATTTTCAAGACGTGACAGTTATTACCGTCATTCTGGTTTCAGAGTTTACAAGAAGTTTTTTTTCCCCTTTCCCGTTTCGTTCCGCTGCAATTTAGTTGAGATTCTTGTCGTATTCTTGCAGCCGTACTAGAAGTGTTTACTCCCAGTCTGAGAGACGGGAATAACTTAATGTTATATTTTTTGACACAGATGGATTTGCATAATGTGTCGTTGGCATATATTTTCAAACAGTTATTGGGTTTCCTATTTGAATTTTTTCTTTGCCAAATATGAGGTTGGCTAGAAACCAGGGAATTTAATGATTTAGAGTGTTTAATTTGGGTAGTTACTGGTGTTCTTTTTTCTCCAGCTAGAGAAGGAGACATTTGTTGCCTTGGGTCAAGATTCTGGTCACATTATCAAATGTCCAGTATTTGTTTGCACACATTGTAGGCTGTCAATGTCTGCATACTAGCTTTATTGTAGATCCACATTCGTCTCATTTTGCAAGATTCAGATCCCACACATCAATTTCTTTTTAAATTTCATATTCAACTTTTTGCCATCCCTGTTTCAGTGACACATTTAGACCAGCATCAGTGGAGCCCGGAAGATGTTTTTGTACCGCGCTTTTATGTTTTGCTCACGACAGATTTGTTTTCTTTACCAATCTCCCCTCGTCAAGTGTCAAGTCTTACATTATCCCCCATTGGGGGTCGTTTTTGTCGCCCCCACCCCCACAATACACCCCTTGAGGGGGTATCTATTTGCCGACATGGCTGGCCCTCTCGGGTTTGTCGGTAAGGATGTTTAGTTTTACTGGTGATGCCAAAGGGCTTATGCTAAGACTGAAAATGTATCGTAGGATCTGATGGTCTTTCTCCCCCTTTTTAGAATTCTGTTTCCTGTCTGTAGCTGCTAAGCTGTTCCTTGTTGCTACATTTCTACAAAATATTTTCCAACACTGGCTCTTCGTTTCCTTGTTATTTTTGGCAAGCTTCTATATCATGAAAATCAACAATACTTTGGTTTTAAAAACATATTTTGTGTAGCGGGCAAATAGTTTTGCCTTTTTTTTCAAAAAAAAAAAAAAATCACTTCAAAATGCTATGCAATATTTTTTTGTTCAAACCTCATTCCAAATTTTTAAAATTCATGCGATATTTGGAATTTACCGGTACCTAATGTTTTACATGTACATGTACATACGGTGTTTTCTTTAATAGTTTGTTGCCCCAAATTTTAAACTGTTTACTCCACAGCAGTTTTCTTTTTTTCTCAGAACATAACATAGAACTTTCCCGCTTAAGAACTACAAACAATTATGTGAATCAGGACTCCTTCATGAATATTCAGTCAACTTTCAACCAATCCGATCCACGCAGACTATGAATATTCATATGCAGGAAACAAAACCCACATTTTCCTCATGAAAAATTCAGCTCACCTCACTTATCCAATAGAATCTTGCCCTCGGGGTGGATTTTACATATTCATTAGCAGTAAAAACCAATCGGATGACTGTTGAATATTCAACATTCAGCACTCCACCAATCGGATTGCTGATGAATATTTAGCATTCAGAACTCCACCAACCTGATTGCTGATGAATATTCAACGTGCAGCACTCCACCAATCCAGCCAATGATCTCCCTCTATTTTTGTTCTGTTGCCTTTGTTTTTTGTTGTTGCTGTAGGCGCCGTCCCCAGGATTGAGTACCTCTCCCGCCCTCAGTACGTCACCCGCAGTGTCCGAATCGTCCTTCTACAGTACCTACTTGTACCCCATGCCTGTTTCCATGGTTAGTTTTTAAGTTTTTTAAGTTCATTTCTCCCTCTTTTAGACCAAGGTTACAAATTTATACTTGTAGAAATCCGTACAATTTTTTTTGTGGAATTCGTTCAAATGATAAACATGTTTTGCTTTTTTCTTGAAGGGTAAAAAATGTATACTTTTGAAATCATGACACTTTTTTGGACTTAATTCATTCTAATTTGTTTTCTTAAGGATGGTTAACAATGTGTATCTTGAGAAATTTGTGCAGGTTTTTTTTAGACTTAATTCATTTAGATGTTATATTTTTATTTATTTTTTTTATTCAGTTTTGTAGATGTCATAAATTTCTAAAGCCATTGTAATTTGAAAAAAGGTGTTTAAATTTGCTCTTGGACATTTCGTAGATGTTTTGGTTATGACATGGACTACTGATTTCTTTCTTTTTTTGGTATTTAAAAAAAAAAAATCACAGGTTATGGGTAATTTCATCAGTAATTCCATCTCTGTTCATTCGCGGTGAAATTTGTGATGGAAATCTAGGCATTAATTCAGGATTGAAGTGAAACAATTTGAAACGCAAATGTGGGGAGATTTGTAACCATGGCAACATTGCAGCCGAATGACGAAAGATCCTCAAACAAATTCTCATCCTCATCATAAAAAGAAAATTGCCGGCTTTTCCACCTGCGACGGATTTTGATGTCTGAGAGAAATTGATCGGCAAATGTTACTAAATCTGGCTAATTCCTCAAGCAGAAAGATAGCTTTCATTTATCTCTCCTCCAACGCAACTAAATCCCTCGAAAGAGGTGTCAAAAGAACTCATCTTAATCTGTCCAACTCAAGATATATTATCTTGTGCCCAACGTTTTGCGTGAATCATCATCTTCATTCAGTTTGACTGAATGATTAGAGATAAATGTCAACGAGTGAAACATTTTCACCCCCGGGTGAAACGGTTTGTGAATTGACATCGTAGGCACCCTGCTACATAGTGGACACTTTATATAGGTAAACCTGTTGCATCGAGATATTTTTCCTTGACTGAAAAAAATACGTTACGGTCAGCTCACTATGAATATGGTACATGTATCTTAGATTGGGTGTTCATTACAGTCAATGTCGCTGGGGAAAAGCTTTGAAAAGAATGTTTTTTTTGCAAAGATGAATAAATGATAATAATGTGAGTTCAAGCAGGTATGTTATGTTTCCTGGCTGGATGAGGCTTGATATTCAAACTTCCATAAAATTATAGCTTAAACACCAGATGGAAAATGTAATTTTTGAGTACTTACATCAATAACCATGGCAATATCATATTAATAAAGCAATTTAAGCAGGGAAAAACTAAGTAAAAATATTAACACTTAAAAGAAAATTACAGGTTGAAAAAGTAGTTTTGTTTGTGTGAAACAAAATTAACAAAAAGTTGGTGTGCATGTTTGAAGCTTAAAATCCTTCAGAAAGCAGTTTATGTTGATGGCTAAAGCTTGTAAGAAAATGAGCCAAACACACCTTACCTTTGCCAGAATGTGCACAACTTGTTAACAATGAATGTTGCATGACTGCCTGCAAAAAAAAAAGTGGAGTTGTATATTTTGTTCCTGTTGCAAAGTAAGCATGTACGTTCAGCATGTGAAACAATGTTCATCGGACTGACAAGCAGAACCATGACTTCTGTCTGTTTGTCTTTTTGACGGTTTTAATATGTGTATAAAACTATTTACAGAAAAGAGAAATAAAATTGACATAGGCTGCTGCCGTTAGATGAGCAAATGGGAATGTACTTAATACCAAATGGCTTACTATTTTATCAAAATTTAAACTTTAACAAGTAATCAAAGGTCAAATTTTAACCTTTTTTTTCCCAAAATTTTTTTCACCATATTTATGCCCATTTTTGTCAGTAAGGCAAAGCAATCAAGATCACCGAACCTTCACAAACACTATACTCGTAAAATGGACACTATATTCAAGTACCCCCTCAACGGTGAGAGTTGGGAGAGGCCGCTGGGACGGACATTCAGACACATTGCTGGCGATGCCTCATACTCACACGAAGACTCTATGGGTGTGTGCATATTCCTAGTAAAATACATTGTACAATGTAAGTCATACAAGTGCACACAGGTATGCACCCACAGTGTGTACCTCCCACTTAGGGCTCTCTAAAATAGTCATAAAGCCATCTACTCAGTGTACATGCATGCATTTTTTCAAATGACTTTCAACTTTTTGATTTGTCCTCTCCAAAGCCCCCAGCAAACCAAGTGCCCAGTCATCTCAACTCCATGTACTCCCAGTACCTACCGGCGCAGCACATTGCACCGACCAATCAGCTTCAAGATTTCCCCACGCCAGGCCAAATATTTACCCCCAACGGAGCCGTCATACCCTACCTACCACAGCGCCCCAAGAACGACAAGTTGGAAGTAAGAATAGAATAACCCTGTCTTGTTGTCTTTGTCAGTTTTACACCTTATTTTACTCAAATTAGCGTTTTAGGAGACAGTCTAGACCAATTCCCAAAGTGTGGTGGTGTTTTTTGTCTTTGAGACCATTTGTTTCAAGTGTTGCAGTGCAGCATATTATAAAAAGAGACATAAGAAATAGCAAGCACCCATGTGACAAAAACGTAATGCACATTTCTGAATTTTGCTGTTGTTTATAATACAGCATAAAAAGCAGGATGCAGAGTAAAATAAAATACATGTATATGATCCAAAAGAAATTTAGATGACGAAAAGGCCACTTCCCAAAATAAATGGCATTGATGGTGAAGGAATATACATTATTTGAATTCTCAGGTTGGAGTTGACTCTTACTGTATTCATGTTAATGTCGGAATACTTGTTCGTTAAATGGGACTTTTGTACCTATTTAGATACCCATTTTATGTAATGTGAGATGGCTTGTCTGAATTCAACCCCCAAAAAACTATCAAAAATAGTAAGCATAGAGGGGTGTTTTTTTGGTCTGCTCTTTTTGTCATGTTAGTCTCAGGACGTATTGCCTGTCTGTATCACACACTCCAAGAATCATCATGCTTAACATTCCAGATTGACGTCAGATTCCATCCCCTCCCCCAAAAAATTCTGTGTGCCATGTTGGTAGTATTGGGGCGTCATTTGTTATTGCCTTGCTACATTAACTGTTTGATCGTCTCTTCTTTTTGTGCTTCTTTTCTATCGCCTCACGGTCCACTTCTACCCCTTTTTCCCCCCGACTTTTCATTATCACTGCGCTTTCCTTACCCCTTTCCCATCCCAAACCTCTTGCCCTTTTTATATTTTTTTTTTGTATTTTTTTGTACCATCTCCCCCTTCCAATGACTTCCCCCCAACCCCCTACCTCCTCCCCAGGTCTGTCGTGAGTTTCAGCGGGGCAACTGCTCGCGGGCAGAGTGCAAATTTGCTCACCCTGCCGAGGGGGCGGCCATAGACCAGCTCGACAACACCGTCACGGTCTGTATGGATTACATCAAGGGGCGGTGTAGTCGGGACAAATGCAAATATTTCCACCCGCCCGCGCACCTCCAGACCAAAATTAAGGCCGCCCAACACACTAACAGCCAAGCTAGCGTTGTGGTGAGTCTCTCAGCCCCTGTGCTGCTCATATTTTACTCTTAGTCATTCTCTCGTTTCTGTATCGTCTAACAATCTTTCCCCGTCGTTAGATAGAATAAATGTCCTTTTTTTCATGTTGTGTGGGGTCATCTGTAGTGTTAGAAACCTGCCCCTTGCCCCTACCAGCCCGTCTATGTAGCTTGTGGTTGTTGAAGCACATGTAGCATTTGATGTTGATGATCTATCCATTCCCACCACTTTACCTCCCTCCCCACCCCAACCCACCCCACCCATCCCCCACCCTAAACCACACCCTCCCATCTCTGCCAACTCAAAATCCGTTACTTCTCATCCTCACTATATCTGTCAAAACATTCCGAAGCAAGCCTCTACCATTACTCTGCAGTCTCGCATCAATTTCAACTTCCCCGTATCTCACTACTTCTCTCACTGTGTTTGTCCCCTTGTCTCTCACTGTGTCTGTCCCCCTGTTTCTCACTGTGTCCGTCCCCGTCTCTTACAGCTTTTCTCTTTGTCTGCTCTATTACATTCATTTTTCTCTTGGCTTGATCTTTCAATGCAGCCTTGAAAGTCGGCCCGATGTTACAAAAAAAAATTAAAACAATTCTTGGTTAACTGGTGAGGTTAAATTAACGATTTAAGACAAGCCATCTCTGATTTAAAAAAAAAAGTACAAATACTAAAATAGCAATTTTTTTTTTAAAATTTGAGCAGCTGAAGAGAACTTACCCATCATGCTCACATTTTTTTGGGAAATGGCCTTTTTTGATTAGCTTCTGCAGTTTCACTTGCATCCATGATAGAATGCCGCGTAAATGCTTTGATAAGGTAGATGTTACAAATATTCTGGTTCAGCCCAGTAGAAAAACAAACAGTGGCAGCCATGTTTGTCTAGCTCCCTGTGCTCTAGGCGAGGATCACTATGGAGTTGGTCGCTGCATCATCGGCACCAGACTATTTAGCCTCAATTTTTGAACCCTCCATCAAGTTGTGTATGCAGGACATCCAAGATGGCTGCCGTTTTAATCCCACTGACTCTGACTTTAATTCTTCCTCATCAGTTGGGAACTTTTGTGAGTATGTTTGGGGTCGGGGCTGAGATTAAAAGTGTAGGAAAACTCTACTGCCACATTTTTCTCGCTCTAAATATTGAAGTTATTTTCCTTTCATTTTCCTTTGAAATATGTAAACTTTCATACTCCAAATAACAAACAGCACATTGATAGATGACATTTGGGCTGTGAATTTTGCCTGTCAGCTTTGAGAATGAGAAACATTACTCTTCAAAAACTTTGAATTGGTGATGGGTATAACACACCAGGAATAGTTCGATTTATAAAAAAAAAGTATTTTCATTGAAAGAGAATTTAGAAGTGGGACTTTCCAAAAAGATGATTTTTCTGTAGTCTTGTAACCTTTCCCTTTTTCATTTCATCTCATCTTTACAATGTTTGTTTAAAGTCAATACTTTCTTCCTCTTTTTGTCATGATCTCAATGATACCCAGACTTCTCCTCCCTTTTGTTCTTTTCTCTCCCTATACCTGTTTCCCACCCTTATCCCCCTCCCAAGTTCCACCCCTTCCCCCCCCCCCCTACCCCCCCCCCCAACAGTATGTACAATAATGTAACCACTTATTCCACCACTTTAGCTGTAGTGTCATCTTGCACAACCATTACCCTCCCCTATGTGGCATAATGGAACAGCCCTCAGACCCACTTCTAGCCAATCAGTGCATGGGACACTCCAGGCAGAGTTGATATTGCTTTGCATAAAAGGGGTTTGTTATATTTTTTGGCAGATGGGAAAACTTGGGTGCGCATAATAATAATAGCCTGACAGCTGGGAATGCCATATTTCTCCAAATCGGTATCAAATGACCAGATTGATTGCAATACATACAGTTTCTGGATACCAGTACAAAATACTGTTAACGTTACTGCTTCAAATCTTCTGTGTTGACATATATATAAAATGCTTTCACAATTTTTGTTTTTCAGTCTGTGTGCGTTCAAAGGTTTTAAATTTATTTCAATGTGTTTTATATTCTGTGTGATAACCCCTTCAGTGAATGTATTCAAACAAAACACTGCCCAACTTTTTCTTTGAAATTTTACAGTTATCCATATTTTTATGGTTCTTGTTTTCTATCTTTTTTATGATTGCAAACTATTGGTGTATCTTGTGTTAACAGAAATATTTTACTGTTTACAGAGTTGTTGGTTGCAGCATTGGGCAGGCAGTTCCAATATTTTACCGAAAGCGAGTTTATCGGATCAAATTAAATCTTTATTTAGAATTCCAAATTTTTCCATAAAAAATTAAAACAATACAAAAAAGCAAGATGGTGCTCCGATTACACCAATCAATTTTTTTATAAAATCCTTTTTTTTATGTTTAAGCGAATTAGTATGTTTGTAATATTAACTAGTTAGATGTAGAATATTGGTAAGAATTTACTCTAAATATGCAAATTTTTAGACAAACAGTCTTTTCCAAAGTATAAATCTGATATCAATAGATTGTGTTGTTTAAAACCTGCAGCACTGTTAAAAAAATTCTGAAAGTAGCTTGATGAATGTTTTTACCTATTTTTTTAATTTTATTTTTCACTGTTTTTTTATCGCACAAATGCACGGCAATTTCGAAGTAGCCCAAGCCTTTAATGGCATACTGCAGGTCAATAGCACCTTTTCTTTCCCTCCTTTTGATTATTGCACGGTGGTCTTCAGTTCTCACTTTTTGGTGGTAGGATTTTAATAACCAGCCAGTTGAAACCAGATTAGTCACTTTGCTGGAACTGGTGAGATCTGGTTGGAAGCAGTCAGAACCAGTTCCATGCGTTTCCATGTAAATGTTGAAACCAGATTAGTAACTACTGGAATTGGTGAGATGAAGTTGGAAGTAGCCAGAACCAGTTAGGACCAGTTCCTTACAGTTCCATGTACATGTGTAGTATTGCCAGGGAATTTTGTCAACGTGTACAATTTAAGCTATTCAAATGACTGATTACTCAAATCCTTAGGACTTGAAGCTTACGGCAGTTTTTCATCCAAATTGCTTTACTCAGAACTTGTGTCACCATTGTATAAAAGCAATCTCAGTTGAGTGAACATGCAATAGCATTCGCATAAAGAAAAAAGAAAAGAAACAAAATGGCTGACTCATTTGAATGCTTTCTGAAAGCAATGTGTTTGGTTCGTGGTCTTTTGTTCCATCACAAAGAGGCTTACAGCACTGTACAAAAAAAAAGCTTTGCCGAATTCAGTATACTCAAAATAACTGTTAGTCGCTCTTCATTTAGTTGACTGTGGTTTTGTAGAGATATAAACCTCGCTTTTGCCCCGCAAATTGCAGCGCCGTGTGATCTGCTCAAAGAAATTGAATCACAAAATGACAAATGACATTTTCAGTAGATGATCTTCATTTGAAAAGAACACATAATAATTCTAGTATTGCAGAACAAGCTTTTGACCAAAAAAAAGTTTGCATTAAGTACATCAAAGTATCCAGCATGCTGATTTCAGTTATTTGCTTACAAGTTGCACAAAATGCAAATTTGATTTAAAAGTAAAGACAAATTTTGCTGTCGTGAATTTTACATAGAGTTTTACCTTTCACCGATGTAATTTTTCAAATGGTATACTTGGTGTTGTCCGAGGGCTTGCGAGAAAAGAAATTCACGCGCCTACCTGGGTGGGACTTGAACCCATGACCTCCTGCTTACTAGCGCAGACGACTTACCGCTGGACTGCCGAACTTCCTGGGATCATGCTGGTTCAGTTCTGATAGCGGCGGAAACCACAACCAATCGCTATTTTATGATTGAATTTTCTAGATTAAATGCACAGTTGTGATTCATGTTCTCAGAGCGGTTTGCACATTTTAGCGGTTTGCCTCGTCTCCCGTTCCCTCTATTTTGTCATTGACTTCATTTTTGTAAAAAAAAAAAATCAAAAATCACTATTTGTTCTGACACATCAATCATCTGTAGTCTAATGTGCATGGCAAGTCGTATTTCTGTCACTGTTTTTTTTTTTTCCTCACCATGTTTTTAATGCCCTCCTTTTTTTTTTTTTAATTGAAAAAAAAATATCCAACTGGAAATCATTTGTTCTTCTCTTCATAGTACTGTCTCTTCTCAACAGGTTTGAGAAAGAAGGGGGAAAAAACCTAATTTCAATTTCTTTTAAAAAAATTTAAAATAATGTGGGTACTTTCTACAATTTGCTGCGAACGAACGGCAAGTTTTTAAGAGAAAATCACATTTTGTCTAAAGAATATTTAAACAATTTGTGGTCCTATCGTTAATTAAATAAAAACCAGTATGTCACTGTGCTGCGAAGCCTCAGTACTACAATGAACTATTAACAAGATGGAATTTGCGTGAGGGAGATGCACATTCAATATTGGAGTTTGCCCTTCACCAATTTTCTTTTTTTAATATTAACACTGGATACTGTTTAATCTGAGGGCTTGCAAGAGCTTATGGGGTCTGCTAGCTGGTTCAAATTGCAATATCAGATAGGAACCAGCCAGCCTACCCCGGAAGGCTTGGCAGTTGAGTGGTAAGACCTCTGCACTAGCAAGCGGGAGGTCATGGGTTCGAGTCCCACCCAAGTAAGCTTGTGAATAATTTATTGCAAGCCCTTGTTGAACAAAGAGTCTACACTGTTTAAAAAAAAAATAGAAATATGTCGGTGAAGGGCAACTGCGACTATTTTTTCTGGGCTTTTCAGGCAAACGGAACCAAATCTATTGCATGTTCACTAGTCTGATCACTAGTCTTATTGGACCAATCGTTACAGTTCCCACTAGAAATCCAATTCATCTTGTTTGACATTGATGTCCCCTTCATGGTATGTTAATGTTAACACATCCTCGTGAATGTTACTTCTCTCTCATGTTACTGTTTATGCTAATAACTCAATTGAATGGACCATTTTATGCCCCGGTGTATGTCGGTAGCACCATCTAGCCAAGTTTGTATTCTCCCCTTTTTTTGTTGAGTCACTTATTGGATGTTTGGCAGCTTGGAAATGAACAAGGTTTTAATGAAATGTCTTCATTTAAGAGAATGACTGTTTAAAAAAAAATGAAAACATAAACACACTGGCCACTTTTGAATGTTTGTTTTCTGCATAACTTCAGTTGAAATGTCATTTTTGTACCGTTTTTGCTTTGTATACTCTGGCATGTTCAAATTGGACTACATATAGTATGTGCAAAAACTGCTCTTGAATGATAAACCGGTTTATAGACTGCTAAACCGGTTTGATGAACTGACTAGTAGACGGTAAACAAGGGTTGAAGAGTCGGCTGTGTGTGTGTGTGTTTTTCTATCTCTCTTCTCTCAATTCATTATATATGCATGAGGTCACTGACATCCACCCTTTGCTTCTTTTGTTTTTCCACCCACAATGCATTTGCCGCTCTGCTTGCTGGTTTATGTTAATGACTCTGCCTGTCCCATGCTGCAATCCCATTGGCCAAAATCCATCATGGCTGCGCATACTAATAAGCTTCCGACCACGCCTGAAACAATCAGCAAGAAACGAGCCCGGGAGCCTGCCGATGACATCATTCTGGTACTGGAAGTAGTCTTGTTGTTTGTCTTTTTTTACTGCTTTGCCTTATCGATAATTTATTCATTTATGTAAATGTCTCTGATTTTTATGTAAATTAATTTAAAGTACATGTAGTTCTTTTTTTTTTCAAACTGGCCAATCAGTGCACGTGGTGATGGCACCTGCATCCTTTTCATTTTCAAAAAAATGGTGGCAATGTTTGAAATATTCAGCACTCCAAAAAACGCAAGACACTGTCTGCCTTTCAATTTTATTAATACACTTTCCCCCCATTGGATGATGTACGTCAGTTTCTAATCTCATTGTAAACTGCATTTTGAACTCAATTCCTATACGTCAACTCTCTAATAGTTTTTATTCCTTACATTTATAACATGAAATGCAAATTATTTGTAAGCTTCAGTCATTAAAACAAACTCGACAGGACACAGACCCCAATGAAATTCCTGTTTCCCCAAAAAAACTCCTTTGAGATATACAAAGGGAACACAACGCATCAAATGAGAAATTCATAGGAAAAAAGGACCATGTTCTTTCTGCCTTTAAATGAGGACAATTTTGTCAAAACAAAAAAAGGGGATTGTTTTAACTTGCTGTAATCTTAGTTCTTGTTTGAGTAGCATTCACTGGTGCACTGAAGTCAGTTGATATTAAAGCAAACTGATTAAAAATAAGCATAGTTTAGGGTTGGAATGTTAGCTTGCTGCTCGATAAAACCTGGCGTTTTCATTCCTCTAGTGAATTTTGTTTTACTAGTTTAGTTACTATTTTGAAACTTTCACACTTTTAATTTAGTTTTTTCAGAATATGAAAAAAGCAATCAAACGATTGATAACCAAACAATTTGTTTTGCTTCGATCTTTTTTTCCTGTACATAACCAGAGATGTAAAACTGGTTTCATAGTTTTCATATTTTGCCCATGTTTGCAAGAAAACGTTGCACTCGGGTAGCATTTGAATCGATCTATATCCAGCAGCAAGCTAAAATTCAATTTTTGCCTAATTTTTGATGAAATGGCGAACTTGGAAATGTTGGACTTTTGAGAGTGGGGGAATATTTTTGTTACATCATTACATTTCATGGCTTGGTCCTTCCAAGAAAAAGTCGGTAACATTTTTTTTTTTTACAGCATCAATTTTTTTTTTTTTACATTACATTCCTGAAAGAGAGGGCATTTTATTATTTCACTGCAAAAAAAAAATACACCAACATTTCCTTGTTCCCAAATTAATAGAACTATAGTAGGCAGATTTCTGTTTTAGTTAGGTAATTATTTTTTATTTTTTGGAATTAGGGTCATTGTAGTTAATTGACATCTGTGTGCCGTAGAGCAAATTTGATCACATTTTTTCTCCGCTTTTTTGTGTTGATGTCCGCGCCTGGCTTCTGCTATGTCTTTGTGCTGTGAACATAAGTTTTGTTTTTTTCAAACAATGGCATTTACCAGAAAAAAATCAAACTGCTATAGCCTTGTACGGTCCTAATTTGCACATCGGCTATCAAGAAAATTGTCAGTTAAAAAATATCAGTTTTTTTTTAATAGTATATAAACTCATTACTAATTTAAAAACTTGATAATACTTTTCAATAATCTTCTCTAAAATCAGATACAAGTTAAGCAGGTTGAGTAAATTTAGAGAAAAAAGTTTTTGGTCGTCTAAAATGTATACTGTGTTGAGTTCTACGCGTGTGTTCAGTCTGTTCACACAAAACCAAGTCCGTTTTATGGCAAGTTTTGTTTATTGCTTGAATAAACCACAAATGTCTCAAGAAGGAAAAGTCGCCAGCAGGAATAAAAGTCTGCTTTGTTGAAGTGTTTCATCATCAGTGCTTCAATAAAAAGTGGATTTCATGGTTCCATCATTTCACAAAGCTTTTGAAGTTGGACACAGACAGTGTTCATCGTTCATCAGCAGTATACAGTTTGGACATTTAATGTATATATTTTGGTAGAAATACACGTAGGTAGAGTTTTATTTATCTTATTACAGCCCCAACGAGGAGTTTTGTAAACAGTCCCGATTCCAAACGAGTTTGCGCCAATTGCATGTTTGTCTTTCTCTCTCTTTTTGTCCTCCTGTTGTCTGCGCTTCACCGTACACATGCCCAGAATCCCGCATTGCCGGGGCTTATTCCGCCGCCCAAGAAAGGCGTGGGGGCCATCTCACATTCACATCACATAGCCGCACAGAGCCTGATCCAGCATCACCCGGCTATGTACCAACCGGCCCTGACCACGTCCATGCAGATGAATGGCCAGCCCTCTCATTACCTACCACCGCCAAGTAAGTCACAGCCCTTCAGGTTCTTTCATTGGACATCTTTTGACAGTTTTTGGCCAGAAAATTTAAGCCTTTTTGATTGTTTATTTTGCTTGACTACTTTTGTACTTTTGCTTTTTCCATTTCTTTGCACTTTTTTCTGTGTGTTTTTTTTTTTATGCTCTGCATTTTCATGTGGACAAATTGAAATTCCCCAACCATCCAAAAGTTGTCTAGAACACATATGTGAAAAAAAAATCTGCCTTTATTTCATATTTTTGCAAGTCTTGTGTATATTGAGTAAATAAAGTCGGAAAAGAGATAACTGGAGTAATAAGTAATGAATATGTATGAGTGGTGGGTGTACATGTAGATGGATTGGGGGTGCACAAAAGGGGAACGGGTTTACAAAGTAGAATACGATTGTTTATATAAAAATCTCATATACACTGTGATGCATAAGTGATCTACCAAGACTTGTGACACATCTGGCATTTTGCCAACTAGCCAGATGTTGACACTTGTCTGCATCTTAAAGATCCATCATGTCTTGTGTCTTCCTTTCAAGCTTGCTTCCTTTCCTTTGTTTTCTTTGCATTCTTAATTTTATCAATTTTGCTTTATTTCTCTTTTCAAATTTCATTTTTTGGGGGCCATTTTTCCCATCTGAATTGGATCCCATGTTTTCCTCAGCATCTGTTTACCCTTTGCTGTTCCTACGATGACTTGTGTATGATTATGCACAGATAATCCTGAACATTTGGGGTTTTTTTTTTAACTGATTGCAATTTTGATTTTTGTTTCGTTCGTTTTTGACGTTTTGTTCATTTTTTTGTCTCTAACTGCTCACAGCTTATTTCTGCCCGAAATTAGTCAGTTTGCAGAAAATGGAAATAAAATTTCAAGCATCGTTCCAAAAAAAAAAGCCCATGGAATGGAAAGGCACATTTGCATGCAGAAATCTTTAATAGTTGCTGTTGTCGATCACAAAAAAACCTAGCATTGCAACCTTGTTACCACTTCCCCATGTTGACCATAGCATTGCATGTTGGGGACTCTGGCAATGAGGTGGCAGATTCCATAGCTCCGTTGACTAGAACACTTTTTATCCTCTATCCCTTGGTTATCTCCAAATATTCATTTGACCGCAACCATCCCGTTACAAATAAACTTGTACAAACTTAAGACTGCTTTCTCAAATTTAAGCACACATTCAATATTTTCCTTACAATCTGACTCTCTCCGCCTTCAGCGAATCGCAATTGCTCTAACCTCCAAATTTCTTGCTTTCAAATCTCACTTCCCAAAGAAAAAGAAAAGAAGCCAAACAATCCAACCCCCCAAACTGTCTTATTTTTCCAGAAGTGTCAGTGAATTGGCACTACCAAGGTGGAGGCAGCTGGGTTGCTCTCCCCGCCCAAACATGGCCGAAAGCCGCCCCAGAAGGTGCCATAGTTTGTCTTATTCTCTCTCTGTCTTTTCTCATTTTTTTCCTATCGTAATGATTTTACATTTTCACTAGAAAAACAGCTATTGCTACAACATGAGTTTTTTTTTTCCTAACGTAGTTTTCAGATCCGTACCACTCATCAAAACTCTCTTATGGACTCAGTGCATGGACGATAGAGGGCGTACAATTCTCCCATATCCTAAAAAGTGAGGTTTTGTTTGGGAAATAACAGTTGGTGTTTTTCCCTTCCTTGAATTTCCGTGAAATTCAAAGGCGAAAAGCTGAAAAATATTTGAAAATATTTGACTGTAGTGTAAACTTGTTTTCATTTTTGTCTTTGAAAAACAAATTGATGTCATTCAAACTTTTTTTCATGGCCAAACTGTTTTTTACTTTTAAATTATTTTTTTTATCGGAAAGAAAAATTAAAATGAGTTGCTCGGAGTAATCCAGAGTAGCTAAGATAAAAATTTCTAACAAAATTTCATTTACTTAAGTTTTGATGAGTGGTATGCATTTGCTGTACATCGCTGATAGATATCATTGCTTTTAGATCTAGTCCTAAAAAAAGGGCACAATAACATCACCAGTAACATACATACTTGGCAATAATATGTAACATTAAGAAATTCTTAACCGCAGACAATAGAAAATCACAACTGAACATTTTTATGAAGGAAAATTTACCTGCAGAGGAAATTAATAAACTGATTTTGTTACAAATCTCAATATCCCTCCCCCTTTTTTTTTATTCAGTTTAATCTTTTTGTTGAAAAAAGCAAAAAGCTTTATCCTTAATTTTACCCCATAACACATTCCAATTTCCCTACTCTTTCAGATTTTATTTGCTTGATTTCTCTTGACGCTGTTTCACAGTCACATTTTGTCAATTCGAGTTAAATTGACAAACTCCCAATAATACCCAAATCTCGCCGTTATCACACAAAAACCGAAATCATTTTATGTGGCTCTTAAGAGTCACCCAATAGGGTGCTGTACCAAGACCAATTTTTGGGAAAGAAGACATGAAAGGTTCCATTTTTTGAGGCAGTTTAGAAACTTTACTTCTTAAAAAAAAAAAAAAAAAAGTAAAAATGTTATTTTTTGGCCATAACTATATGTCAATAACCTCAGATTCATATCTGTTTGCACCCCAAAATGGTATGGTACAGCGCCCTCAACGTGCAGGAATGAGACCTATTGTGTGGAGTCTGAACTAACTTGATAGGAATTTGCTTCAAGGAAATCCCTTTTAGAAAATTCACCAATAAGCATGCTGTGTTATGTGGCATTGTTTTTTGCTTTTTTTTTTCATTTTAGATGCGCTTACCAAATAGCATGTAGCTAGCATATTGAGAGTACTAACTTGCATTGGTGCTTCATTTAATGGGTTGTTTATATTCATTTATTGCATTTTAAGGGCATGTTTATCCAGCTTTTATCATCATTGTATTTTGCACATTTGTAGTCTTCTGTTAGCTATTTTGTAATTGCATTAATTCACTCAGCTTTCCTTTTCTTACATTCCTGTGGATAAATTGTATTTTTGCTAGTGACTCGCATAATCATGGCTTCCTGATACAGTAGGAGCTTTATCATATTAGTTTAAGGGAAAGGGAACTATTAACAGTGTTGTGGTCAAGTCTATCACAAGTCCTCACAAGGCAATCACCAGTCCACACAAGGCAATCGCAAGTCCACACAAGGCAATCACAAGTCCTCACAAGGCAATCACAAGTCCTCACAAGGCAATCACAAGTCCACACAAGGCAATCACAAGTCCTCACAAGGCAATCACAAGTCCTCACAAGGCAATCACAAGTCCTCACAAGTCCACACAAGGCAACCACAAGTCCACACAAGGCAATCGCAAGTCCACACAAGGCAATCACAAGTCCTCACAAGGCAATCACAAGGCAATCACAAGTCCTCACAAGTCCACACAAGGCAATCACAAGTCCTCACAAGGCAATCACAAGTCCACACAAGGCAATCACAAGTCCTCACAAGGCAATCACAAGTCCACACAAGGCAATCACAAGTTCTCACAAGTCCACACAAGGCAATCACCAGTCCACACAAGCCATCCAGCGCCAAGTAAAGGCACGAGCTATTCAAATGAACTGCAATGAAAGCATTCCTTTCTTATTCTTCATCCCATATGGCTTGTGATGGACTTGCGATGGACTTGTGAGGACTTATGATGGACTCGTGAGGACTGATTGCTGAGTGTGAAACATTGTACTCAGATTCAATATTGTGTTTTGCCCTTCGCTAATAACATTTTGTAAATACTGTGTCCTCAGTATTTTCCAAGGGCATGAGAAAAAAACCACAAGATTACTCGGGTGGGACTCGAACCCATGACCTCCTGCTTACAAGGGAAGACATCTTACCACTCAACAGCCAAGTTTGCCAGGGTCAGCTGGCTGGTTCGAATGGGATATAGTCTCAAATATTCCCAGTTGTTTCCAAGTACATTGTGGATCATTTGTCTCTAATTAATGGTAGTCTTTCTTTCATTAATTGTATCTGCATTTCCATCATTTACATTTCAACCGATACGCAGGTTTTAAGACATATTCATATTTGTATAAATAGAATTCGCTTGAACATGGACACTTAGAAAGACATTTCTGAACATTGTTCTAATTTCTGTTTTTTATTGTTTTCTCCTTCCCTCTACCAACTTTCCCACCGTTTGCCATTTTGAAAAACAAAAACACCATGCTTGCGTCTGTGCTCTGCTTGACAACCGTACAACAACAAAAAATTGTGGCATGCTCAAAATGTCCAAACCGCATGCATGCCAAATCAAACCCCCTCCCCAAATATCCACAACCACCGTACAACCTTGTGCTTGGCTGGCTGGCTGGTTGCCATGACGATGTCTTGTTGCCATGACGATTGTCTTTGTTGCCATGGTAATGCAGTTCCCATGATGCCAACAGTGCCTCCCGGTGCCGCCGCTACCATGCCTTCTTTCTACACACACCAAGTTATGCCCCAGCAGGTAAAAAAAAACGTGCTGCAGTCCTTGTTTCAATTTTTTGCCTTTTTGAAAGAAAGAAAAAACAAGAGAAACAAATGTAGATGTGATGTGTTTACGTGCTCGCCCTGGAAGGAGACTGTTGTCCCCGTTAGAAATTTTGATAAAGTGGAATTTTGGAATACAGTCAGGACTGTGAAGTATAAATCCTGAAAAAATAATCCAAACAGTGGGAAGAGAATTTGACGGAAATTTGGATAAAAAAAAACTACAAACCATGTTGTTGTTCAGGACATCGTATAATTTATCCTTGTGACTCCATAGTTTGTTTTAAACAGAAAAAAAAGGAGTCTGTGTAAAAAAAAAAAAGAAGCATTGCAAGAGAAATAGTTTTATGTGACAAGTTATACCAATGTTTGTTTTGTGATTTGATTGGAAATAGTAGCTTAGTGTGCGTGTCAAATTCTATTGAAGCACATTTCTAGAAACAAAACTTCTGGCATCAAAAGTGAATAATGTATTTCTATTTTACGAAGTGTTAAAGAAGAAAAAAAATGAGCAAGAAAAAAAAACTACTCAACTTTGAAGCCTGATTTGGCAAGGAGCACTTAAACACAGCATTCCTACTGGTAAAAGTGAATACTTAATGAATATTTTACAATTACAATTTCATTTGGTGTTTGATTTGTTCAAGGACATATTCTGATGATTTTTTTTAAAACATCTGTGGATTTCTCCAGAGGAATACTTCACTGCAAAAGTCACAGTGACTCAAACATGTCAAAAACAAGTGATGTGAATTTTAAACTGAATCAGAATGCAAGATATTTTATGGGTTATTCTATTGCATTTAAAAGTCGTTTTAGATTCTGATGCAAAAAAGGGAAGAACTAAAAGAAGGACAAAGATTTGAGATCTTTAATTGTATTCACTTAAACCATTGTTAAGTCTATGTCCCCCTTGCATGTTAGCTGGTAGTCATTGTCAATGAATAAAATGCAAAAAAAATATGGCGGCTGAAAATGCTGTGAAAAATGAAAACAATTGAAAGCTGGAAATATTATTTTCCAAAAGCTGGCATGACAGGCATTTTGCTTTTTGTAGAGAAAAAAAAACTAAAAAAAGTGAAGCAATTCATGAGCTGAAAGTCATCGCAAAATGTCGCTTCAAAAATAAAAGTGGATTTGTTTTGTGCAGTCAGGCATTGGATGTCGCAAAATGCAAAGGAACAAACGATAATTGCAGCCGTTTCTGCTACCAAACACAGCATGAAATTTTGTTTTTTCCAGCATGCAGCAATCATATTACAGATCTCTGTACCTACGTGCATTCACATCACAGTTCCAAGTCTATCAGTCCATGAATAAACACCCCTAACTACTTTTTATATGTCCAACACCATGAGAAACCAAACTCAAAGGAACCAGATTGTGTATTAATCAATAAATGTTCTTTGCGTAAATGTACTTTTGGGGAAATTTGAAAGTTTGCAAGACGAAGTTGGCAATAATGGGGGGTATCTGCAAATTTACTGTGTCATAAGTGTACACCACTGAAAAAAAATGATGGTTATAAACAAGTCAAAATAAAAATCTCTGAAATATTTTAAAAAGAGATTTTGCTAGTTATCCCTCCCTCAAAAAAAGAAAAAAAAAAGAAACACAACAGCCTCCTACTTTTTGGTTGGAAGATAACTTGGATAGACAATGATTTGTTGTGATGGTTTTGTTTGTCTTGTATTGTAGCAGTCGGCTGATACGATACCTGTGTGTCGCGACTTCAAGTCGGGTAGCTGCAAGAGGCCCAACTGCAGATATGCACATGTGATGGAAGGTAAGCTGGCAACAATACACTAAGCATTTAGCTTACAGTGGTCCATCAGTATTACTGTGATGCTACGGTTAAAATCACAAGTCCATCGTAAGTCATCACAAGACCATCTTAAGTCGATCACAAGTCAATTGGTCAGTCTGTTCACAAGGTAGAGGGGCACAATGTATATACGTGGTTGAAATCACAAGTCGTCAAACGTCCATCATAAGTCGATCACAAGTAATCACAAGTCCTTCGGAAGTTATTCACAGGTAATCACATCATAAGTCATTCACAAATCCATTGTAAGTCGTTCACAAGTCTTCACTAATCCAATCGTAAGTCAATCATATGGCATCTTTTTTCAAGTCACTTGTCCAAACTGTTCAAATGAATGAAGCCTCCCTTTGCCATTGTTCATATGAGTACTGATGATTTGACCTATGATTTGACTTATGATTTGACTTGTGATTTGACCTATGATTTGACCTATGATTTGACCTATGAGTTGACTTGATGGGCTGTCGGTTGGGTCGTATGCTGAAGTTTCCTCAGTAAGCAATTTGGACTTGTGTACAGAACTCACAAATTTCTTGCAAGTTGGAAATCGTCTTGAAAAACCATCTGAAATGTCACTGATCAAAATAAGTCAAGTTGGCATTCCACTAAGCCGTGAGAGTAATTATAGTGAGTGCTGTTGACTTTTATGTTAATTTTTTCATCCTTTGGAGAAAAAAGTCATTAGCTTAATGGAGAGTAGATCCATCTGTAGTGTTTCCTTATCAGAACAACTACACCTGGCTTTTTTTTTTCAACCTAACAATCTTGTGTTTTCCTTCTCCTAACTTCCTCACTTTGCTCCACAGACTACGTTGAAATCATAGACGGCAAGGTAACGCTATGCCGGTACGCGGCTCAGAGCCGGTGTACACGGCCCAAGTGTAAATTCTACCATCCGCCCACATCTGCCGCACTGGCAGTCATGGCACCGGTTCCTTTACCGGCGCTACCAGCACCAGTCGTCACATCTATTTGATTTTCAATCGAGCTTCCACACACACCAAAAAAAAACAACAAAAACAAAAAACACAGCAAGTGTTACTTGCCTCCCGCCGTGGATCATTCCAAATAATCTTTAAAAAAAAAAATTAAGATTGTTGAACAAGTGTCTAACATAATTTTTTCCTTTTTTTGTTTTATATTTCTATAACAATGTTGTTATTATTGTTATTGTCTAACTTTACATTTTAAGAAATTTTAGAGAGAAAAAATTAACCAGTGCCGTTTTTGTAAAAGACGGCTACTGAGTGAGTTGTTTTTAATTTTAGAGTAACTTTATAGGTCTGATGATAAAACTTTGAACTACTAACTTTTAACTGACTTGAGTTAATAACCTCGAAGTGCAATGTGTTGTGTAAATGGTAAGAAGACCAAACAAACAAACAAGCAAACAAACAAACGAACATGTGTATGGTTTAGAGGCTGTGCAAGATGTTTACTCCAGTGGGGCACTCAATGTTCACACAAGCTGCGCTATACTGCCAGACAGTTATGAGCAGAACGACAAATAAACTGAATAACACTCGCGGTGTTCATTAAACACCAAGTGTTTAATCTACGCCGGAGTGGCTTATGAGGCACCTTAACGCAATGGAGAAGTGTGTAACGATATGAAGACTTAACGAGGGTCAATTGTTAATAGCTACCGACACGTTAAAACGTGCATGTAAATTATTTTGTCATTTAAGTCCAAGATTTTAACCCTGTTTAGGAGGGGCCTTAACACAAAGATTTCACTACAGCAGCTGAGGGAAGAGACAGCCTGTGAGGCCAATTAAGTTTGTTTTTTATTTGGATATATTTTGTTCTCCAAAAAAGAAGATATGAACGAGTCAATTCCAAAAAAAATTAAGTTGTTTCGGAAAGCTGCTCCCGTGCTGCAGAAGAAAAAAGAAGCTGAAATATGAAAAGCTGAAATATGAAAAGCTGGCATAGTGATTATTTATTGAACAAAGAGCAAATTGCTGATTGGTTAATGGGCTTCTCTGCTTTGTTTTGATTGGCCAATTAGCAGGAGCGGAATCCTCTGTGATCAGTGAGCTGTTTGGGTTTTTAAAAACGCTATTTTTTACCCATGCTTTTAACAGGAAAAAAAGTTTTATGTGTACTTGTTGAAATAGAGCTTTGTGTGATATAAAATGCATTTTCATTGGACGATGCTGGGGCAGGTGTAGCCAATCAGATGCTTTGTTGCTTCTCTTATTATAATGCTGCTGAATATTCATAATGCATGTTTTTTTTCACTCAGTGGCAATGAGCATGCCCTCATTTGCATTGTTTGCCCCCCACAGAGAACTTTGCCTTGAAGTGTGTTATTCATAATTTGCTGGTTTGAATGTTCCAAAGAATGATAACAACATCCATCAGGCATTTCACCAAATCTCTGTGTTGGATCTGGGTCCAACATGGCGATTTCAGGAACCACGTTCACGCTAGTAGGAATCTAACACGGCTTGGGCACGGGTCTGGTGCCCTACATGGGTCAAAGCCAACCCTGATCCTGGCTCCTCCTGGTGGAAAGCCCAAAATCTACAGCCGACCAATGTACATGTACTGGTGTCAGTGTGAACGGTACGCCTTGCCTACCTGTGTTTGATGTGACACAGTTCTGCTTTCAGTGGACCCATGTTTATTTTGATATGGTTAGGCAAGACAATAGTGTGGACAGGCCTCTAGAAAGCACAGAATGGCATGTATGTCACAGATTCGTTATGAAAATCAAACTAACAATCAGTACATTGGCTTATCTTGGATGATTTACTAAAGTTATCAAACTAGCAAAGTTATTCTAACACTGTAGCCCGACAGGGGAGTTCTTCAGGAAAGCTCTGGTGTTCGGTTTTCAAGAACTTGTCGGTAGTGGAGCATATATTTCAGTCTGCTTGGCCGGTATTTTGTGGAAGTGGTCGCGCTCTGCCGTAATATTTTGCAGGTTCTGTCAGCTCAACAAGCCAGCTCTTATATATTTATGTTTTGCAGCAGGGGCCGTTGTTTTTTTTATTTTCATCTCTGATTTTCATTTGTGTCAGTGCCGTTTTTCCTTTTTTTCTTTTTTTGGTTAACGTTGTTTGCTTTCCCTCCCTCCCTTTAAACAGACCAAGTAGAGATCATTGAGGGCAAAGTGACGCTGTGTCGTGATGCCGTCAAGGGCAAATGTGCACGAGCCAATTGCAAATACTACCACAACTCCTCCAATGCCTCTGCCTCCTCCTCTGCAGTCAATGCTAGTGTCACCGTTGCCACCACTATGGTTGCTTCATGCTCTACTCCTCTGGCTGTCGCTACCATGGCTGCTCAATAAACAAAAAAGCAAGGGAGACATATTCACACAAAAATCGGCTGATCTCTCTTATGCCTGCCTGCCTGCCTGTTTTGCCTGCACAACCCCCTCCCTTCTTTTTTTTTTGCTGGCGCTTTTGATAAAAACCCCTTTTATCACCAAGCTCGGAAACCAGCAAAAAAAAAAAACAGTCGCATTTGGTTTTGTTTTCTCCACTTTTGTATCTGCTTACATCCCAGTGTCTGAATTCATAGAGCATTTTGGGACCGTTGCTATTTCTCATGTTGGTATCATTTAATTTCTGACTATAGAAAAGAGACTTTATTTCTCCGTTTTTGACGCTGGGAGAGATGTAAGATAAGCTTGCCCGCACATCATGAAATCACGACATTCATATGCACACACACAAGTGTTTAATTGGAGGGGGTTAAATTGTGTACAGGCCTGCATGAGAATGACGTTGTGCATTTAGATGTAGAATCACAACAAAAATACCCACAAGATTCAGATGGCAACCCTCAGTTCTTTCTACCTTTTTTTTTCCTAAATAACTTTGGGAATATATTGAATTGACTTTTTTTACCTTGAAAAAAACCATTGTGTGGTAAAATGTGCCAAAAAAGAGACAATTTTTAAGATTATGAAGCATGTAAATGTCGGACTGTTTCTTAGTGTATATAAAAAGAAAGTTAGTTGACAAAAATCACCAATTTAGATTATTTTTTTTTATTGTGTGTATCCTTTGATAAAATCCCGCACTTGCACGAGAAATATTGGGGGGGGGGCGTGGAAATCTGTGGAAATAACTACAAGAAATATTTTTCTCGACGGTGCTTTCTTTTTTTACTTCAACTGAAATAAAACAACACTTTTGTACTCAATTTGATGTGAAACCCTCTACTTGCGTTTGTATAGTAATTCGAGTTCATAATTTTTCACAAGTTGTTAATATATACTTTTGAAAGAACACCTTTTATATTTGGGGTCATGCCATTGGAAGCCTGTGGATATCTTTGTGGTGATATATTTTAGCCCAGATCAGCTTTTTTTTTTTCGGTGATAGAAGCAAAAGGGTGGACGTGCAGGCCAATGCATTGGATTGACAACGTCTGTAAATCAAAAACATCCAGGAGAAATCACAAAAGGAAACAGAGAAAAGGTACAGAGAGTTGTAAAAAAAAAAAACACTTCAAAATCCTTTTGGCAAACGGAGTAAGGGCCTGCTCATGTCATATTTTGGGACGAGTTCCGGACAAGTTATAAACATTGTATCGGGTGTAAGTTGCAGGATTCCTATCAACTTTCCTGCAATGAAGTTATCAGTATGAGTCCAGCGGTTGCCAATGAAAGTTTTCCCGGAACATGTCCGGGACAAATGCGGCGCTTCTCTCGGACAAAGTGAATGATTCTACCTGCAACTTGTCGGTAACTCATCCCAGATATGAATAGAGACGGGCCCTAAAATGGTTACAGCTTCAACCAATCTTCACTGCATGGCTGCAAATGATCCACCATATTTTTTTTCAACTGTCATCGGTGCAAACTAATGATGCTTTCTGGGCTGTGTTGGTTTTTTGGATTTGTTTTAGCTTCTTCTTGGTAGTCAATTTTTCCCACCATCTTTGTATTAAAGGAATGCCGAGTAGTGGATGTGTTGATTTGTATATTCCATCACCGCTGCTGGCTATCTGAATGATCTTTACGCTCATTTTTTGCTTGAAAGCATGCCATAATGCCTTATAGCTCTGAAATGTTATTTGTTTGTAGTTTGAGTCGTGTCACATCACATGGAAGCATTCGCTAGAGGACGATTGACCATTAAATGTGTTTTTTTTCTTAAGGTGAGCAAGTCTTTTGACGTTTCTCAGTTTAAATTATAAATGAAGGAGGCATAAGTTGAGGAACTTTGGTGTTTCTCGGATGTAAAACTTACCAGTTTTGGCGTGACATAAATGGCGCCCTCAAGCGTTCTGTCGTACCATGTGACACGCTCTGTAACCCATGTTTACAAGCTTGCTGCTTTGGGGGTACATGTATAATAATCTCAGCACATGAAATTCAAGCGAAGACCTTACATGGAACGCAAATTTCGATATTTTTTTTCTTCAAAAATCCTTCAGTTGTTTTTCTGAAGGAAAGGAGATAAACAGTTGTTTTCTTGGTTGCTTTTTTTTTTAATGGTTTTCATTTTTCACAATTTTTATTTTATTTTGCTCTTTGTGTTCAAAAACACTGTGCCAAATGCTTTTCCTTTTATTTTATTTTACTACCTGGTAGTTCGTTCTGACTTTATAATTCGGAGAAGCTTAAGAGAAAAAAAAGCTGAATAGACAAGGGAAAATTGTCCCCCAAAAATAAGAAAATGAAAGGGGCTAAACTTGGCTTTTACAAGGAGAAAAGTCCCTGTCATCTATTAATGGGAGAGAAATTGAAATATTGCAACTCGTTAAAAGATTCGCTGTTTGAACAGATCTGGTGGAAGCTTTCTAAGGTTACTGCTTTAGAGCACGTCATGCTGAAATGCTTGACAAAAAAAAAAAAAAAAGATTATAAATTTTAAGGATTAAGAAGGAGCTTAGCTCCCTAAAAAAGGAAAACTTTACTCTATCTGTCGTTTAAAATTGAGATGCATATATCCGTCTCTCATTTTAGTGATTTGTAGTTGTATAAAAAACTGTATGACATGTCGAGTCATACTTATATAATGTACTTAAACAAGTTTTTTTGTATATAACGTGTGAGGTTACAAAATACATTTAGACAATTATCTTTTTTGGGTTATTGTCGGTCTTCTTGGAGTAAAAATAAAATATCTTAAATCAATGGTATTAATATTCAGTATCAACGTAGTGTCTTTTACAAATCTTGGTGCCGTCTTCTTTTTGTTTTTTAAAGGAAGAAAACAAGTGTGTGCCATTGTTTATTCAATTTTAGACAATAATTTGTAAAACATCTGACAAAAAAAATAATTAGGTGTGGTTAATTCTTATGATGTTATGATAACAATAATTAAAAAAGAAAATACAGGGTGCCGACAATCCTAATGTAACTGGACTTTTTTGCCAAAGTATTGTAAGATTATACGAAAAAAACAATAGCAAGATGTGTTTCAAGATTACTTACAGAAGTGTGTGTGTCTTTTTTTGTAAAAAAAGAAAAGAGAAAACCACACACTATAAACCAACAGTGTGTTAGATACTAGCACATTAGTTACCTGTTGGTTGTCATGGTGATGTAAAAACGAAATACCAGGGTTTCCGCGTTTTCCTTTTTTGTGTGAAAAACTCGGACATTTCACCAAAGATATACACTGGATTTTTTGTAATGATAATCCATGTATTGCGAGCTAGAGCCTTCAAAAAGTTGCTTTACTACTAAAAAGTAAAAAAAAAAAAATGTCGCAATTCTATTAGCAGTGCCTGTACCGTAAAAAAAAATCAGATAAAAGTGCTTGCAGTAAAAAAAAAAAAAAACAAGGCAAAAAGTTAGTTAGATGTCGGAAATTATTGTAGCCTGTTAATTGTCATTTACTGTTTTTCTTTTTTTTTTAATTAAAACAAAAACAGTGATGTGAAATCTATATACAGAAATGCTTCGTAGATGTAATGAATGCTTCTTGTACAAAACTAATGATATTGAGCAAAGCTGTGAGTGTTTCGTAGTGAATTGTAAATGATCCCATATATTTGTGCCAATGGTAAGACATAAGGGGAAAATGACTTTTGTCTGTTTGGAAAGCCATCAGTTTTGGTCCATTTTGAAGAGAATGTGTTTGTGAAATGTCCAAAAGCACTCCTGTAATTGTTTGGGGTTTTTTTCATCCATGTTTGAATTTGTAAAACTGAATGTTTGCACTCCCTACATGGACTTGTATTGAACGTGCTGGTCACATAGATGCCACAACTGTTTGCTAAAACATTCACAGCTATTGTAACCCATTATTTCTTCCTAAAGAAGATTGCTATGCTTATTGCAAACTGTAGTGCTATGTTCTTCTCACTTTATGAGGTTATTTTCCACAATTGGACGTTTCTGAAGATGGAAGTTTGAAAATACGGATTGGTAATTTTCCTCTTTGCTGAGAAACCATCCAAAATCCCCCACTCTACACTGTGGCCATCTTGGTATTGTTCCCTGAGTCCATAGTGCAGATAAGTGTGATATGGATGAACACAACTATGGTGTCAGCCTAATTGTTTTTTTAAAGGGATTGGCTGGTGAAATTGTGTGTGTGCATATGGAAATCACTCTTCATCATAGTTTTCTCTGACTTGGGCACCATTGACCATTTCTGGGTTGAAAGTTGTAAGGTTGTAGAGGAAGACAAATCAATCTTTGTACATGTTGGAAAAGCTTTTAGGATGAAATTACAACTGTGAATAACTAATGTGCATGTGATTTATGTAGTTATGCATTAAAATGTGTCTTGAAACAACTCATAGCGTTAAGTAGAAACTAGAAAAATATCATGAAAGAACCATTTCACAAAACTTTTTTATTTAATCAATACTATGTATGAAATACAGTGTTTGTATTTTGAGTTTGGGATAATCTAACCCTGGAATGATTCAATTGAAACTCAGAATGTAAAAAAAATAATAATACAACAGACAAAAGTGTTTCATTTATGAAAAAAATAACTTCAGAGACATAATATCTGTCCTTTTAATTTTTTTAAATGTTCTCAACAACTCATATTATTGACTGTCAATGCATGTTTCTGATTTGACCTGAACAAACTTCTCCAAAATAGTCAGTTGTATATTTTATGAACAAGAACAATCTGGGCAGAATTGTGAAATGGTTCTTCGATATCTGATATGCGTTTTTTTTTTAAATCATGCTTCTTCATGATTTATAAATAGAATATATACAGTAGACAATGTTGTACATTACTTTTTTTTAAGTACTACCAACTTTGAAAGATATTAACTGAAATGATCAGTTTTCTGAAATGAAATATTAAAGAATAAGAATTTTTTGTCCATAGATGCAGTCTATTTTAAAGTAAGATTCTTAATACTGTAAGTTTATATTCTTTTTAGAAAACTTTTTTGAATTAAGTGTGTAAGTAATTTGTTTTTTCTTGTTTACTTCCATTCATAAAAATTTTGGTTTCCTGTCATATTTCATGGTTTGACATAAGCCTCACTGTATTTTGGAGAGGCGTCATATAATTTTTTTTGTTTTTGGTGATTTTGTCAGATTTTTTTAAATTTGTTTCTAAACGATTTTGGTTTTCTCCTTTTTTTTGTTAATATAGTTTGATGACATGTATAAGTTTTGATGTTTTTAACAAGATTTTCACCAAAATATTGTGTCATTTGTAGTGATGTGTATAGTTTCCGTAGGCGTGCATCTTCTGTGGCAGTTTCAGCTGAGTCTTCACCTCAAATTCTCCTTTCCGGAAATTGACGTTTATAAACAACTTGGTGACGATACACAGTTAAAGAGTGAAGCCCGACAATCACCAGTTTCAAAAAGTCTAGATTGCAGTGACAAATTTAAGTTTAGAAAAATTCTGCACAGACCAGTAAAAGTTGCATTCTTCAACGACAGGTGTTCTTAATTGTGGGCGTGTGCAGTATTTGGAACGGGGGGGGGGGCGTAAAGTGGTAAATGGAACAGATGAAATATTTTCCCATAGAGGACCAGCTGAAATTGGCGCAGTAAGAAATAAGTCGCGTTAGGGATTAGCCAGATATAGAGCTGCACATTTTAAAGGTTTACCCACAACACATACACGGAAAGAAAATCGACTTGTACAAAACAGATGTAGAATTTGTTCAGGGGAAAAAAAAAATTTGGAGAGGATTAGGTGACGTCTTGTTTTAACTGTAAGGTTGTGACTCTGAATAGAGTAATTTTTTTTTCTTCAGAAAAACCAATGTGCTTGGAGTGTGTTTTTACGTTATTTCCCACATATAATTCAAATTTTTCCAAGTGTTATCACTTTCTTGCCCTTATAATCCAAATCGTGTGATAGTTTTCATACACAACTGACGAAATGAAATTTACTTGGTTTTTATAGCAAAGTAGAAAACAGTGGTTTCGAGACGGGAATTCGTATTCCCACGACAGCAATGCAATAACATACTGTCAAGAACAATTTATCCGAATCTGTGGATAGTTCTTATCAGTATTTTATTATTCCTTTATGAGGGTTTCATAACAAATTATGAATCCATTTGCTTTAATGGTTGCCAAAGAAACTCGCGACACGCCTCATTGCCAAAAAATGCTCGCGCTTCAGAGCCAATCATATATGCCTAGCCAATGTTTGCCCATTTTTTGCCATCTTTTGGCAAATTTCTCATTTTAGGAATAACGATTCTGTCTGGACTGAACCGTGAATATTATCAACATGTTGTTAAAATTCAGGGAAATAAGGTCTTACTGTGTGGCTGCTTTCTCGAGATCAGAAATGAGAAATTATCCAGAAGCATTTGAATTGAAATATACACCCGTCATTTTGGGAGTGATTGTATTTTCAGAGATGACCAGCACATAGTTAATTCATATTTCCCTGAATTATTGTAAACAGTACTACATGTATATCTGTATGAAATATCCCAATACTTTAGTGCAGGATTAATACCACATAATACCTGAAATGCAGTGGTGTTCTGAGGTTAGCACTACCAACTTGCCCAATATATTGTCCATTCAAATCAGGATTCTTTTAAGAATTATAAACTCCAACAACAGAAAAGGCGGGGGATAACTTTTTGGAGATCATTCTTGTCAAGTACTCAACAAAAACAAAATAATAAAAAATACGAACGATTTTTTTTGGACATTTTTTCCCACTTTATATAGCAAGATTGAACTTACTTGTTATTGTATGTTTTATAATGAATTCGTAGGCGGAATAATTATCCCAAGTGCAGTCCTGCACCAAAGATGCTTACCTGGTTGTAGAAATAGTGATGCAATCGCTCAACAAAGTTGAAGACGTCTTCAAGATAAACATTCTTCTCTGAAGTCACACCAAGAAAAGCCTCCAAAATGTTGTCCCTCCCCTCCCTCTCCCCAAAAAGCCTTTTTAGCATGCTCATGTAACACTCTCAAAGAGGAGCCTAAAATAGCAGCACACAGCAGATTTAAAAACTGTACAAATTAGTGTAACAACAAAATTATATATCGTATCAAGTGTTTAAAGGAACGGAATGCAACGAACCCGCTATATGGAAGCGTTTAACGTTTCCTGCTATGCTGCGTGCATGCCATACTAGCTTGGGAACGAGGTGGTGCTTACGTTACTCGACTCCATGTTGAAATGTTTGCGAATAAACCAAAAAAATCCAAGTAAATAAGAAACGCGCTTTGTCTTTGTTCGTCTTGCTGCTGTGGCCGAATAATCAAAGAAAATGTCAGTGCCACAATAAAAGACACCTTATATTGGAGTATGGAAACTTGAAACAAGATGTTTGTTCTGACAGTTTTTTCAGTGTACCTTTGTGTGTGTGTGTTTTTTTAAGTATGTTTGAGGAAAAAACATTCATATTTAAAAAAAAGAAATTATGGACTGTTTTTCCCCAAATTTCCATGTTAAAACGCCCATCTGTCAAAAAAATCAAATTGGAATGTGTTCTAGGGTCCCTTAGGCATCTCTCCTGCACATTTCAAGCAATTTTATTTTTTGGCCAAAATCAAACAAATGCAAGGGGTTAGCCTTACATTTTTAATGAAATTTGAGCGAAAATTGACTTTTTTCTAAACAATGCAGAAAATCTTTGGAGGTAAGAGGAGCACCCAAATTAAATGGGAATGTGTTCTAGGGTCCCTTACGCATCTTTCCTGCAAGTTTAAAGTAATTTCATTTTTTGGCCAAAATCGAAAAAAGAACAAGGGGTTAGCCTTACATTTTTAATGAAATTTGAGCGAAAATTGACTTTTTTCTAAACAATGCAGAAAATCTTTGGCGGTAAGAGAAGCACCCAAATTAAATGGGAATGTGTTCTAGGGTCCCTTAGGCATCTTTCCTGCAAGTATAAAGTAATTTCATTTTTTGGCCAAAATCAAAAAAAGAACAAGGGGTTAGCCTTACATTTTTAATGAAATTTGAGCGAAAATTGACTTTTTTCTAAACAATGCAGAAAATCTTTGGCGGTAAGAGGAGCACCCAAATTAAATGGGAATGTGTTCTAGGGTCCCTTAGGCATCTTTCCTGCAAGTTTAAAGTAATTTCATTTTTTGGCCAAAATCAAAAAAAGAACAAGGGGTTAGCCTTACATTTTTAATGAAATTTGAGCGAAAATTGACTTTTTTCTAAACAATGCAGAAAATCTTTAGAGGTAAGAGAAGCACCCAAATTAAATGGGAATGTGTTCTAGGGTCCCTTAGGCATCTTTCCTGCAAGTTTAAAGTAATTTCATTTTTTGGCCAAAATCAAAAAAAGAACAAGGGGTTAGCCTTACATTTTTAATGAAATTTGAGCGAAAATTGACTTTTTTCTAAACAATGCAGAAAATCTTTGGCGGTAAGAGGAGCACCCAAATTAAATGGGAATGTGTTCTAGGGCCCCTTAGGCATCTTTCCTGCAACTTTAAAGTAATTTCATTTTTTGGCCAAAATCAAAAAAAGAACAAGGGGTTAGCCTTACATTTTTAATGAAATTTGAGCGAAAATTGACTTTTTTTCTAAACAATGCAGAAAATCTTTGGAGGTAAGAGGAGCACCCAAATTAAATGGGAATGTGTTCTAGGGTCCCTTACGCATCTTTCCTGCAACTTTAAAGTAATTTCATTTTTTGGCCAAAATCAAAAAAAGAACAAGGGGTTAGCCTTACATTTTTAATGAAATTTGAGCGAAAATTGACTTTTTTCTAAACAATGCAGAAAATCTTTGGAGGTAAGAGGAGCACCCAAATTAAATGGGAATGTGTTCTAGGGTCCCTTACGCATCTTTCCTGCAAGTTTAAAGTAATTTCATTTTTTGGCCAAAATCAAAAAAAGAACAAGGGGTTAGCCTTACATTTTTAATGAAATTTGAGCGAAAATTGACTTTTTTCTAAACAATGCAGAAAATCTTTGGCAGTAAGAGGAGCACCCAAATTAAATGGGAATGTGTTCTAGGGCCCCTTAGGCATCTTTCCTGCAACTTTAAAGTGATTTCATTTTTTGGCCAAAATAAAAAAAAAACAAGGGATTAGCCTTACATTTTTAATGAAATTTGAGCGAAAATTGACTTTTTTCTAAACAATGCAGAAAATCTTTAGAGGTAAGAGAAGCACCCAAATTAAATGGGAATGTGTTCTAGGGTCCCTTAGGCATCTTTCCTGCAAGTTTAAAGTAATTTCATTTTTTGGCCAAAATCAAAAAAAGAACAAGGGGTTAGCCTTACATTTTTAATGAAATTTGAGCGAAAATTGACTTTTTTCTAAACAATGCAGAAAATCTTTGGCGGTAAGAGGAGCACCCAAATTAAATGGGAATGTGTTCTAGGGTCCCTTAGGCATCTTTCCTGCAAGTTTAAAGTAATTTCATTTTTTGGCCAAAATCAAAAAAAGAACAAGGGGTTAGCCTTACATTTTTAATGAAATTTGAGCGAAAATTGACTTTTTTCTAAACAATGCAGAAAATCTTTGGAGGTAAGAGGAGCACCCAAATTAAATGGGAATGTGTTCTAGGGTCCCTTACGCATCTTTCCTGCAAGTTTAAAGTAATTTTATTTTTTGGCCAAAATAAAAAAAAACCAAGGGGTTAGCCTTACATTTTTAATGAAATTTGAGCGAAAATTGACTTTTTTCTAAACAATGCAGAAAATCTTTAGAGGTAAGAGAAGCACCCAAATTAAATGGGAATGTGTTCTAGGGTCCCTTAGGCATCTTTCCTGCAAGTTTAAAGTAATTTCATTTTTTGGCCAAAATCAAAAAAAGAACAAGGGGTTAGCCTTACATTTTTAATGAAATTTGAGCGAAAATTGACTTTTTTCTAAACAATGCAGAAAATCTTTGGCGGTAAGAGGAGCACCCAAATTAAATGGGAATGTGTTCTAGGGCCCCTTAGGCATCTTTCCTGCAACTTTAAAGTGATTTCATTTTTTGGCCAAAATCGAAAAAAAAACAAGGGGTTAGCCTTACATTTTTAATGAAATTTGAGCGAAAATTGACTTTTTTCTAAACAATGCAGAAAATCTTTGGCGGTAAGAGGAGCACCCAAGTTAAATGGGAATGTGTTCTAGGGTCCCTTATGCATCTTTCCTGCAAGTTTAAAGTAATTTCATTTTTTGGCCAAAATCAAAAAAAGAACAAGGGGTTAGCCTTACATTTTTAATGAAATTTGAGCGAAAATTGACTTTTTTCTAAACAATGCAGAAAATCTTTGGCGGTAAGAGGAGCACCCAAATTAAATGGGAATGTGTTCTAGGGTCCCTTAGGCATCTTTCCTGCAACTTTAAAGTAATTTCATTTTTTGGCCAAAATCGAAAAAAAAACAAGGGGTTAGCCTTACATTTTTAATGAAATTTGAGCGAAAATTGACTTTTTTCTAAACAATGCAGAAAATCTTTGGAGGTAAGAGGAGCACCCAAATTAAATGGGAATGTGTTCTAGGGTCCCTTAGGCATCTTTCCTGCAACTTTAAAGTAATTTCATTTTTTGGCCAAAATCGAAAAAAAAACAAGGGGTTAGCCTTACATTTTTAATGAAATTTGAGCGAAAATTGACTTTTTTTCTAAACAATGCAGAAAATCTTTGGAGGTAAGAGGAGCACCCAAATTAAATGGGAATGTGTTCTAGGGTCCCTTACGCATCTTTCCTGCAAGTTTAAAGTAATTTCATTTTTTGGCCAAAATCAAAAAAAAAACAAGGGGTTAGCCTTACATTTTTAATGAAATTTGAGCGAAAATTGACTTTTTTCTAAACAATGCAGAAAATCTTTGGCGGTAAGAGGAGCACCCAAATTAAATGGGAATGTGTTCTAGGGTCCCTTAGGCATCTTTCCTGCAAGTTTAAAGTAATTTCATTTTTTGGCCAAAATCAAAAAAAGAACAAGGGGTTAGCCTTACATTTTTAATGAAATTTGAGCGAAAATTGACTTTTTTCTAAACAATGCAGAAAATCTTTAGAGGTAAGAGGAGCACCCGAATTAAACGGGAATGTGTTCTAGGGTCCCTTAGGCATCTTTCCTGCAACTTTAAAGTAATTTCATTTTTTGGCCAAAATCAAAAAAAGAACAAGGGGTTAGCCTTACAATTTTAATGAAATTTGAGCGAAAATTGACTTTTTTCTAAACAATGCAGAAAATCTTTGGCGGTAAGAGGAGCACCCAAATTAAATGGGAATGTGTTCTAGGGTCCCTTAGGCATCTTTCCTGCAACTTTAAAGTAATTTCATTTTTTGGCCAAAATCAAAAAAAAACCAAGGGGTTAGCCTTACATTTTTAATGAAATTTGAGCGAAAATTGACTTTTTTCTAAACAATGCAGAAAATCTTTGGAGGTAAGAGGAGCACCCAAATTAAATGGGAATGTGTTCTAGGGTCCCTTACGCATCTTTCCTGCAAGTTTAAAGTAATTTTATTTTTTGGCCAAAATAAAAAAAAAACAAGGGGTTAGCCTTACATTTTTAATGAAATTTGAGCGAAAATTGACTTTTTTCTAAACAATGCAGAAAATCTTTGGCGGTAAGAGGAGCACCCAAATTAAATGGGAATGTGTTCTAGGGTCCCTTAGGCATCTTTCCTGCAAGTTTAAAGTAATTTCATTTTTTGGCCAAAATCAAAAAAAGAACAAGGGGTTAGCCTTACATTTTTAATGAAATTTGAGCGAAAATTGACTTTTTTCTAAACAATGCAGAAAATCTTTGGCGGTAAGAGGAGCACCCAAATTAAATGGGAATGTGTTCTAGGGCCCCTTAGGCATCTTTCCTGCAACTTTAAAGTGATTTCATTTTTTGGCCAAAATCGAAAAAAAAAAAAGGGGTTAGCCTTACATTTTTAATGAAATTTGAGCGAAAATTGACTTTTTTCTAAACAATGCAGAAAATCTTTGGCGGTAAGAGGAGCACCCAAGTTAAATGGGAATGTGTTCTAGGGTCCCTTACGCATCTTTCCTGCAAGTTTAAAGTAATTTCATTTTTTGGCCAAAATCAAAAAAAAGAACAAGGGGTTAGCCTTACATTTTTAATGAAATTTGAGCGAAAATTGACTTTTTTCTAAACAATGCAGAAAATCTTTGGCGGTAAGAGGAGCACCCAAATTAAATGGGAATGTGTTCTAGGGTCCCTTAGGCATCTTTCCTGCAACTTTAAAGTAATTTCATTTTTTGGCCAAAATCGAAAAAAAAACAAGGGGTTAGCCTTACATTTTTAATGAAATTTGAGCGAAAATTGACTTTTTTCTAAACAATGCAGAAAATCTTTGGAGGTAAGAGGAGCACCCAAATTAAATGGGAATGTGTTCTAGGGTCCCTTAGGCATCT